GAAAAGTGTGTCCCGAATAGCAATGAGATTCTTGTGCCAATTATACTGTACATGGATGGTATTGCTATTGATAGACACGGAAGTCCTTGCTGATAAGGTGTCCGCTGATACGGAGGGTGCTGATACGGAGGATACTCATACGGAGGGTGCTGATACGGAGATGCTGATATGGAGGATGCTGAGTAAAGTAGGAAAGAGTGAGTGGAAGTGCTTGAAATGGAGCGATTCCCATGGTCGGTTGCTTTGGACCAGTTAGTTTTTTTTTAATGAATGAAAAGAACAGTTCTAGCGTGCTGGAGGCAGGTAAAGGTAAAGACAGTAGGACACAGTACAATTTTGAACGCGGAATCAAAACCCTTCTATTTTGAGCAAAATGGACAGGGTTCCCCCTTGATCCACGATTTTCTACAGCAATTTGTGTACAGCTTTGTACTAGGATCCATCCAAATAGATCAATTTTGCTCCTCGCTGAGCAGCTGAGGGCCTGCCGGCGTGATACCAACGGGTATAGTACAAATCCTACTTAGGCGTAGGCCCTTAACGTACGGAATGTTAACTTAACATTCCGTACGTCAACACCGACATACGGAACGTTAAATTAACGTTCCCAATGCCTTACTTAACGTAATTTCAATTGATGTTTTACGCGTAGTACTGTAAGCTGCGAAATACGTATGCTCTAGTGCCGTTTCTATCGTACCGTACGTGTTTACAATAAAGCGTGAGTGGATGTGGTAAGTTATTCACTATTCACTCGTGATTATCGTGATCTGCTTGTGTTAGGCTCACAACAGTAATCCCAGGTAAATTCTAGTCCCATTTCCAAAAAGCAATTGAGCGTATGGATCACTAACTAGCTACTACTCGTGATTTAAACCTCACAATTATGTCACACTGAAGTTGTACCAGCAGTAATAGTAGTTCTTCAGCTTCAATTCCATAAAAATATTGACCACAATAGGCACCTTTTGCTTCAATGTGTCAAGAAAGAAAAGAGCTCTGCAAGTACTCAATCGTTCTACTAGTGCTAATTAGGGTACATCTGCTACTCATAGTCATTGTAAGAGGACCACCATCCAGCAATCAATGTTTCAAGTACAACAAGAACAACAAAAGAAACTATTTTGAAATCATGGAAAACAACCACAGAACAAGATGATCTATGGTAACAAACGTGCTGCATTGTGAATATCTCTATTATTTTTTATTCATACCTGACGGCATTGCTGTGTACTCTCTTTGATACTTCTTCTAGGATTTAGCTTCTGCTCTGGGTTTCTTATGCCGAAATGTCAGACTATAACGAAACCCTCGGGGAACGACTCGACCCGCAGGGGCGTTCAGGCACTTAKCAGTCGTGACATCCTGCAAAASATCCATCTCTATTCCATGACAATAGTTCATATATGCATCYCCTTCAAAGACCAACAGAGACCCCGATTCCAACAAAACAGTTATGGGTTCGTCACCGGGTTCGTTTGAAATGGGATCTTTGTCCGCAATCTGCTGATGAATATTCTCCTCTTTACTCGGAATGTGATTGCGCGAAAAAAAAATCGTKTTGGAGATCTGTTTTCTTCCGATTTGGTTCGAAGACAATCTCTTTGTGAATTCAATCACGACGTTACTACCCAGAGATAACGTTGCCGTCCGATCTAGGTACAAGGGACCGTCTGTGTGAGGCAGAATGCCCTGTCCCGGTTGGTATTCGTTGAGCAAGACATGGTTCGGTGGCGAGGATGAGGGAAAGATGTTTTGTTTCACCATTTCTCTTGCAATATCGTTCAGTGGTGGAGGCAAAGATTGTGGTGATTCGATGTTTGAACACGCTTCTTCTTCTCCGAACATACAAACTCGTCGCTTTCCATAAGTCATCGTCTTCCATTCCCGTAGACCAGAGTCACCGCTCGGTATGCGTTCGAGCCAATTCATTAGGGCTTCCTCTGGTGATATATGTTCGCTACTCTTTGCATCGTATGTATTGTCTTCTTTTTGTGAATATCGTAATGGTGTCTGTTGTCCAAGTGCTGTCGGCGAGTAGGAAATTAACTGGGGATCTTCGCTGATCACCCTTAGGGCAAGATTTCGAAAACTGAGAAAGCCAGCTTCAAAATCCCACCTGCAATCGTTGAAGCTYGAGTTTCTCTCTCTTACATTAGTGTTCGATATAATACTCTTCTTGTCCCTGAGTCGTTCTCGCTCATCTCGCAACAGCCTTTTGTAGTCGATTGCCTCTTCTTGATAATCGGGATTGACATTAGTATCAAATCTCTTCTGATTTTTCTTTAGGTTGTGATTTCCTGCTTCAGTTTCGTTGTCTTCGGTTTGCTTCCTGACCGATTGATTGCTCTTCTTGTTCTTCAGTCGTTTCCGCTCCTCTCGCAACAGCTTTTTGTAGTCGATTGCCTCCATTTATTATCACAAGGCCTGAATGGAGAGTGATCGGAATAAATTGATGAGAAAATATAGTACCGAATAAWTGCTGAAGTAGAAGGAGTTGTGGAACCCAATGCCTTCTTTCGGCCTTTTGAACAATCGAGAATACAGATTACTGGTACGAATCGTACCAGACTAGGATAAAGTATGATGACATTTCGGTGTAATCAGGATGGGAACTATGTACACGCAGTAGAATTTTTTGAAATTTTAGGAGGCAGCATTACCGTAGTACGTACGGCACCGTTGTATCATACAGTAGTAACGCGGAAAAGGTACCGTGCTCGTGATCCAGCTTTATTCACATTCGCGGAATACCTGTACAGATAAGTGCGTTCAAGGTTCAAGCCCT